GGGTTAAGTGAGAAACACTTAACCCTAATTGTCATTTTATGTGAAACCCTAATCTTAATTGGGCCTTAGGTTGCGCCTATCTATTGGGCTTTGGTCATTGGGATATTGATGGGCCATTCAAGAACAATCATATGGATTAAGAATATATGGATGGGCTTTAGGGTAAGGCACATGTGGGGGGGGGGGGGGGAGTTTGGGCCCAATTTGGAAAATTGGGCCATATATGGGCCATAATTGGGCCTTTATGATTATGAGATATTGGGCCATTAGAAATGTCAAATGTTTGCACTGGACTAAATGGTTGGGCCTTAGGGAAGACCATGTAGAGGTTTGGGCCCAATTTGGAAAATTGGGCCATATGTTGGGCTTTGACTCATAGTTGACTTTTGGGCCTTTGGATTGGGCCTTGGTCTTGAGTCAAGCTAAGTTGGGGGTAAAGTAGCCTTTTACCCCAAGCATGGACTTATGGATATGTATTGGAACCCAATTACTGATTGGGTGTTATTTTGATGATTGACAGTTCGAGAACCTGTCATCTAGCAGCTAGAGTTTTGACTACGGGACTTCAGCAGTGCGAGGTGAGTTACCTTCCAGTAGAAGTGGGTCTAAGGCACCAAGGCCGGCCCACTAGTAAGAGTTATAGTAGAGATGATTTTCTTTGTGATAATTATCTGGTATGTTACTATCTGTTATGATTATGTGCTAGTATGCTATGATGTTATGTGATATGTGCTAGGAGGGGTAGGATAGACCCCTGTACCGGTCGATAGGGCCGAAGGGGTATGTCAGCACCAAGATAAGCTAGGTAGTATATGACTTATATGTTTATGCACTAGGATGCTATATGGTAGAGTAGGGGATGAAATAGTCCCCGTTACCGGTCGAAAGGACCGAAGGGGTAGGCCAGCACCCTGATATGCTAGGCGAAGTACCGGTCGACAGGGCCGAAGGGGTAAGCCAGCACCCTGGTATGCTAGGCAAGTTACCGTTCAACAGGACCGAAGGGGTAGGCCAGCACCCTGATATGCTAGGCAAGTTACCGGTTGGAAGAGACCGAAGGGGTAGCTAGTACCCGTATATGATATACAGTATGTGTTATGTATGGTATGCGGTATGATGGGGGAACTCACTAAGCTTTGTGCTTACGCTTTTCAGTTTTGGTTTCAGGTATTTCATTTTCAAAGGAATGGAGCCGGCTCGATCGCAACGCATCACACTATGTTTTCCGCACATGAGATCTTTGGGATTACACTCTGATATTGTTTTATGATAACATGTTTTGATTATTGACACTTTGGTTTTGATATGGGATGTTTTTATACTGTTGGTTTTATGAATTATTAAACTAAAAATGAAATTTTTGGGCTTAAATTTTGGGATGTTACACAACTCCAACTGGGTCCGAAACCCAACCCCTCACGTATCCGTAGCTTGATAGCACTTAAACCTTGATCACCAATTCAAAATGGGAACAATTCGAAACAGGATGTTACACAAGCATAATATGATTTTGTCGGACAGTGAATGCTTCTAGCTTCTTCATCAATTCTTCCTATTGAGTAGACGTCACGAGCGGCTTTGATACCAAGTGTTTTATGGCTCGGGACCTTGATATCTTGATAGGACCTGTGTTGGTGCTTGAAGGTGCCATGGACTCCTTTGTAAACTAGCCTCCTGTTTGTAGCAGACTAAACAAAGCTATTAAACTAAGAATACTCTGTTGATTATTTTAAAATGACAACATATCTTATTCCATGAACGACTTGATGGGTTTTAGCATAAACATACAATCCTATGTGTGCATGCAACCCTAATACGATATATGTCTTCTCTAAAAGAACATACCATATGAACAAAAACATGTAAACCATAGATCTATGGATAATAATCGAAAATCACATAATAAATATTAAGATAGATACCTTTGATTGTTATGTAGTAATAACAATCTAAAACCTTGTAGATCTTGAAGCTTGAGAGCAAGTATCACAAGTGTAATACCTCTAATGAATCACAAACACACTTAGCAAGATGATGAGATGTGAGAGGGAGGAAGAGGCTTCAAATTTCGGCTACAACTCTCTAGGGTTTCTAGTGGCCGAAATTCATAAGGGTATGGGTCTTTATATAGTGGGTCTTTATATAGTAGGGAACCCTAATTGCTTTGCTTAAGGACCAAGCAAGCCTTAAACCTTCCATCTACAAACCCTTGGACGAAAATTCTAGGGCTTCTCTAGAAGATTTTCGTCCAAGCCTCTTAGGAGGGTTCTAGAGCATCTTCCACAACTATCAATAAATTACCAAATAGCCCCTACACTTTTAATTAATTCAATTAATCCCAAAATTAATTCTAATTAAATTTTGATTAACTATTAATAAAATAATATGATTTCTAATTAATATATTATTCACATAATACATTAATAAATCATTTATTTCAATTTATTAATCAAATTAATAAAATTTTCCTCTTTCTCAATTAATTATCTTGTCTAGTTGCTAGTATGAAGGCAACCCAAAAGGACTGTGCTACTATCAATTGAACTATATACTAATTATAGTTATGGGCTTAGACACCTAATCTGACACGAATACCCTTAAAATAGGGATAAACAAAAGACTGTAATAAGTAAACAAAGTCTCTAAAATCGACTCAAATACTAAACGATCCTAATTACCAAATTTAAAAACAAAAGATCCTAATTACCAAATTTAAAAATGTAAACAAGATAATTTCCTTATTATCGATTAACTTGAGGACTTATCAAGTATGATTCATAACATGACTGTGGTTGTAGATCGAAGAGAGAATGGGAAAGAGAAGGGACTGTGATGTCGTTGTAGTAGAAAGAAAAGAAGAGGGATCGTTATTGCTGAAATGTAAAGCACAAAAGGAAAATTACATGTTTTGTTTTAATTTGGATATGGTTCTACCTTGTAATTTTTTAAAGGCTTTTGACAAACTACGAGGCTTTTATTAATAGTAGGGGTAAGCATTGGTTGGTTTTGACCTAAAACCGAACCCCAACTGACAAGCTTTAGTTTCAAAAAGATAAATCTAAACCAGTGGGTTCTATTTCTAGGGTCTCAATGGGCCAGTTTTCAGATGAAACCCAAACCTAATTACAACCTTACTTTATGAGAAGAGAATCAATGGTATATATTATATAAGACAAGACATAGGTTGATGTTTGTACATAGGGGTGATGTGGATGCGCGTCTAAGCCTTCAAAATAAAAGCCAACATATATGTGAGGAGGGGATTCGAACTCGAGACATGGGGTACACTCCTAGCCTTCATTGTCCAAACACTTAACCACTTGACCAACCTTTTGTATACGTTATATATATAAATGGAGATGACAAGTTTTGAAGTAGTAGGAAAAAACAAAAGGAGCAAAATGTAGAAGACAAGTTTTGAACTAGCAACCTCAAGTTAACAACCCAACGCTTTAACCACCAGATCAAACTTTTATTTTTGTGTTTATAAGTCATCAAAAAAAGCATATACACGTATGTTTCTTAATATTCGGTTCGATTTAATTTTTCTTGGTTTTATATTTACCAAAACCAAAACCAAACTCAATATTTCGACTTTTAAAAACTCAAACCTAAACCGCCGGTTTTTGGTTTTGTTGAATTTTTGGTTTTCGGGTTCGGTTTTGCTCACCCCTAATTAATAGACTACCATATATACTGAATTTTTTTGGATTAAGAGCCTCTCTCTTAACTTTTCAATTAAGAGGCTATATATATATATATATATATATATATATATATATTAAAATGTTACCAAATAGGGCCTAAATATATTGATTTATAATATTAGTCTAACGAATGAAATAAGATGTTATTGGATTTAAATGACCTTGTGAACCACGTGGCCATCGATATGGTAATTGCCTACACTATAGTATAAATAAGAATAAAACATTTTGTTTATGTTGTTATTTATGTGGAAATTATATTGGACAACAAGCTCATAATGATGTAGTTGTCACTAAGGGCTTTAATGGTCGGAACAAAGTGGAGAAACTTTTAAGTTATGTTAGTATGGTTAATAAGAAAACTGAAATACATGAAAACAACATCAATCCACTTGTGTTTCATTTCATAAGTAAAGTGAAAATGCAAATAAATAGTACAAAATTCCGTTAAACGCTTCTATTGAGGTGTCTAAACATCTATATGATAAGTTAGAAGTGTATTTTCATTGAGGAAAATTCTTGGAAACAATAAAATTAGTTCAAAATTTTAGTAAGGATATTCATAAAGTTACATTAGAATATGCTATGAGGAATAAGCAAATGTTGCACCAAATGCTCAAAAAAATATATTGCTTATTGGTTTTATAAGATAAACTTAAATCCATCTTTCAAGATAATGGTGATTATGTATTCATATAATTAGTTGATGGGTCTAACGATGTATCAAAGAAAAACAAATGGATGTGGTTTTACGAACATTAATAAATATGGGCTTGTTAAGAAGAGGTTTGTATGTGTTGTTCAGAAAATATAAGGGTTTTAGTGCATTAAAAAATAATATAATGATTTTTTTTTAAGTATTTGATGAAAAATATGTTGGGTTTTTCTAAGGTTTTCCCTATCTTAAATCTTCCATATTCTTTTTTTCTTCAACATGATCGATTATGAAAAAAATTAGAAGGAAAAACTTAAAATGGATTAAGCAATATGGACAGGAAAAACTTAGAATGAAAAAAATTTGCTTGTTATGTACATGGTTTTTCTCAACAACATCAATTAGTGGTTCTAGCGGCTTCAAGAAACTATAATGGTGTTGGAAACTTCTTCGAAATGTTTTCCATTTCTATGCATGTGGTCTATGCTTCTTTTCTTTCCTACGAAAAGATGTGATTGAAGAAGCTTATAAAAAGAGAGTGCCCGTACATATCCAAATCTTGGATCTGCCATTGCCCCTGTTCTCACTATTCCAACTATTTCCTACATAAATAAGTGAAGTCGATTGTAATTCATATAAATCATAAAACTGAGTTTGTATACAATTTTCTTAATCTTATCAGTTCAACTAAAAACACAAACACTTGGTCAAACAGGAATCGGGTCACCAAAACTGTCACCATCCTTCAATTCCACTTGCGTCCATTTTTTGAGATACACAAGTAGTAATAAACCAACGGTTTGACACGAGAGACCGCATATCAATCCTATCCACAACCCCTACATTTCATAAACTCAACTATAATTTACTTGTAATATAGAAACACCATATTTTTCGATATTATGTAATAAAAGTTTCACCTTTGCATATAATTTCACAAAAAAAGCAAGAGCAACAGCAATCGGCATCCCAATAAGATAAAACATTGCTAAATTTATATACATAGCATGATGTTGCCAACCACATCCCCTCGCCACTCCTACAAATACAAATTAGGGTTAATGTCAAAAACAGGTAAAAACAACTATTTAAATTTGTTCAAAAAACACTAGTAAACTGAAAAAAAAATATATATATCAAAAGTTTTCAGTTTATGAGTGTTTTTTAAACAGACTAAAAAGTTCTTTCCCCATTTTTTGACATCAACCCAATAATTTAATTGTCGTGACACATTAAAAAGTGTTGCGATTGAGAGTATGCAAACCTGATAGGACTCCTTGGATGGAATCAAAAACGATTGAGATCATCAAAAATGGTGTCATGGAAGCGTATTTATTTATAATCACACGACTATCGCTAAATAATCCAGCCCAGATATCGTGACCAAATCCCAATGCTAAAACAACAGCAAGTGCAAGAATGAAGGAAAGCTTTAAGGTCACAGCCATGGCTTGTTTAGCTTTTTTGATATTTGTAGCTCCAAGCTCATTTGACACACGTGTGCTGTTAAGTTAATAATGTTGTTAACTATCGTAAAGTTAAAAGTGTCGCTAAAGATTCTTGTTTCTAAATTTTAACCTTGCAGCAGCACTGAGCCCGCATGTAAACATGAACGCGATTGCTTCTGTATTTACACTGCAATAAAGAAATTGTTTCTTTAAATATGATACTATTGATGCGTTTATTACAAAAGAGGACAAGAAAAGGTAAAGGTATATAACATCAAGCATTTTAAACAATTACTACATAATAAGTTCTTAAATATTTCGCCTTTTTTTTGCAAATTATTTTTATTTTCGCAAAAATGATGTTAGCTTTATAAGCTTGGAGGTTTTTACGAAAAAATATTCTTTCAAAAAACACTCAAGTGGCATTTTGCATAAAAAATAAATATATCCATTCGGAAGTTTTTTTTTCCACACTTACTTTTAATCTTTCATATTTCTCTAAAAAGATTTTTCCATTTTTTTTTTATTTTTTGAAAATAAGATCCTTTTCGCTAAACATTGTATTATTTTCACAAAAAAAATATAAAATTTGTGAAATATTATTTCAGATAAAGTAATTATGCAAATTTGTGAAGTTTTATATTTCTTAAAAATATATCCTTTAAAAAGTTTTTTTTCTCCAAACTGTATTTTTTAAAGTTGTATATATCTTCTCTTTAAAAAGATTTTACGGTAATTTATTTTTCGAAAATAACGTTATTTTTGCCAAACATTTTATTGTTTTCAAAATATATATATATATATATATATATATATATATATATATATATATATATATATATATATATATAATTTCTGAAATATTATTTAAGAAAAAATAATTATACAAATTTGTGAAATATTATATCTTACAAAACTGTTCTTTGAAAAGTTTTTTACTCCAAACCGTGTTTTTAAATATTGCATATTTCATTTCTCCAAACCATATTTTGAAATATTGTATATTTCTTTAATTAGATTTTGCAATTTTTTTTCTTTTTCGAAAATAATATCATTTTCGCCAAAGATTATATTATTTTCACGTAAAAAATATATAATTTGTGAAATATTATTTCAGAAAAAGTAATTATGCAAATTTGTGAAATATTATATCTTTAAAAAAAATTCTTTTGAGAAAGTTTTTTTTTCTCCAACCCGTTTTTCCAAATATTGCATATTTCTTTAATAAGATTTTGTCGTTTTCTTATTTTTTGAAAATAACATCATTTTCGCCAGACATTATATTATTTTCACGAAAAAAAGCACTATAAATTTTTTTAAATATTATTTTAGAAAAAGTAATTATGCAAATTTGTGAAATATTATATCTTTAATAAAAATGTCCTTTCAGCTTTTTTTTCTACAAATCGTATTTTTAAATATTGCATATTTCTTTAAAAAGATTTTGCCATTTTTCTATTTTTCTAGAACATCATTATTTTTCACCAAATATTATATTATTTTCACGAAGAAAATATAAAATTCGTGAAATATTATTTCATTATGCAAACTTGTGAAATATTATTTCAGAAAAAGTACCTTGCCTTTTGGTCAGTTTTGTGATTAACTCTATTGTGTTCCTAACTGATCTCGAAACTATAAATCTATAATCATCATCAATATTACCAAAACACTTAAATTAACTCTCAAGACATTCTTACCACATTGCAATCAGCGAAGTTGTTATTTCAGAATTTGGCAAAATCCCAGCAAGCAACACAAGTATCTCAAAAGCCCAATATTCTAAGCTGCCAACGTTTTAAAAAACAACCAACAAAATTATAACTTTGATCCAAACAATAGACAATTATTCATAATTCTGTAAACTTTAAAATAATTCAAGAAACACCCACCAAACCATAGCAGCAGAAGGAAGAGCAAGCTTTAAACAAGTTAGAACATGTTTAAATGACTCCTTTGAAAAACCATTCCATGTTTCTTTAAACCTTTTGGAAAAAAGGACATATCCTGCTAGCATAATCACTGCAATCCATAATGAAATTGAAACTGCGATTGGGGCTCCAATGAAAGCTAGGGAAGTTACACGTACAAGTACATAAGTAATGCCAATATGGAGGATTAGTGGGATTAGTGAAAAGATTACTAAAGGGGCTACAATGGATTGTGTTTGGAGAAACCTCAAAATGTTCTGTAAAAGACAATAAGCAAATAGTCCTGGGATAAGATACTTGATGTAAAGAGCAGACATTTTTGAGATTTTTGGATCTTGATGAAGTAAAATGAGAATGGGTTCAGTAAAAACCCAGAGAATTGAAATGAGAATGGAGAAGAAGATGGAAATTAAACAAGATGATTGTAGATATATTCCAAGCATTCTGTAAAGTTTTGCTCCAAATCCTTGCCCACATAATGTCTCTAGTGCCCCACTTAACCCTACCTGAGAAAAAAAACGAGTAAAAAATGGATGCAACAATTTGGAATTAAACTCCTTTTGATTTTACAATTGAATATCCCAGTTGCGTTTTCTCGTCTTAGAAGTTAGTATTAGATCATAAAACAAATTGTAGCAGATTTCAATTAATAATCATTAATGTCTTCCAGTAGCACTATATGTTAAATTCTACGATTTATTGGAGTAATTTTCGTCAAACATGCAGGCGAAAGTGATATCTGAGTAATTAATATTAATGACGACGCACGCAATCGATGTCTAGATTAGGTTTAGGTAGTAAATGCATGAATACTTTCTGATTGCAAGTGAGAGAGGAAGCAACAACTAACCATGAAAGAGAGTCCGGTGACGGTGGCCCAGGAGTTAGCGAGGTTAGAGGCGGCGAGTTCAGCGTCTCCGAGGTGGCCGGCGAACATGACGGAAAACTAATGGTATGCAATAGTATGCAACATTGGTTAATAGCATAGGGAGGGAAAACAAGATCTGAACTTTAGCCTCTCCCCAATCCAACACCTTCTTCCACCACCAACAACCACCATTTCCATGTCCACCACCCTCGACATTCGCCATCGCTATCACTGGAGCAGTGTTTTCGGTCATCTCTATAATACTTCTTATGGTCATCTCTATAATACTTCTCATGGTCTCAGCATCGGCATATATATAGTTTCGTAGAGACGGTGCTATCAATTTTTTTCACTTTTTCTCCTTGTAAATTGAGTAAACTGCAAAATTGGCCATAAGTTGGTAATTTTCTTTGGATTAATGAAAATATAGTTTTTTTTTAGAAGGTTTCACTTTTTTAACTTTTTCCTCATTTTAACATTGTTAGTTTATTTCGTTAGACCTCTTCAAGTTCTAATTTTACTCTTTCTTTTAAATTATACATACAATTAATTCCCATTTGGCTTATCTACGGTGCCTTGGTATTGAGCCCGGCTATGGTGGTTTCAAGCCGTGTTCTTGATTGTTCTTCCCACCTTTACCGATCCACCGCCTCGACTTCGTCCATAGCTTTAATCATCTTCCAATTGCCACTGATACATATTTCCTTCCCTTAGATCCCTCCACCGCTTAAACCTCCGACCCATGTGTTTCGATTTCGTCTGCAACATCATCAATGCCATCACCACAATGCCATATTTACCTTTTCCAAAAGAACTGAGAGAGCGTGTCACAACATCAATCAGCTTCAGTCTTCCGATTTGGGGGAAAGAGGAGCACGCGAGATCTGAATCACGATCTTCCTAGCCATCGCCGGTGACCGCGTGTTCTATTCAGGTAATAGATGAAGATGTTGATGGATTTTAGTTCCAAACATATACATGCACCGACAAACTCCTCAATTGCTACACAATGGTCATTAAGTTTTTGCGTTTTTCCTTAAAATAGTTCTTATCAAACTTTTTTTGAATGGATGATCACACACAACAAACTTTTTATACTTCAAATATTTTAGAGATACATATTTTATCTTAAATTTATATTATTATTAACAAGATTTACATTTTTTTATTAATCTTAATTATTATTATTATTATATATATATATATATATTAGGGGTGTGCAATAAACCGCATCACATAACGCGGTTTAAAATACTCGCGGTGCGGTTTGCGGTTTATATCTTTGTTAAACCGCATTATATGGTGCGGTTTGCGGTTTACGATTACAAAATCGCGGTTTAAACCGCACCACATTGATAAAATCAATTAATGATTATATATATATATATATATATATATATATATATATATATATATATATATATCTATATATATATATCTATATCTATTCGAAAATAATTTGACAGGTTCTAAATTAGTGACATTATCTTAAGTTTTTGAAATGTAATCTTAATTAATCCAAAATTTAATGCAAAAGTTAATAGAGTGACCATATTTTTTTGTCTCAAATTAATTTTCAACTAACATTCAGTGACCATTATTTTATGGTCACTATGTTTTTCTTAACTTATATATATATATATTCATAAGTAGTTAATGACCACAATTCTATGACCACCAAATTTCTTAATGACCACTTAGTGAGCCGTTAGTGACGACAATGATAATATTGTCAATAAATTTAAAGTAAATAATTACTCAAACCGCAAAACCGCATGTAAACCGCATAAACCGTCCGCACCAAACCGCACCGCATAATGCGGTTTTGAACGTTCGCGATGCGGTTTGCGGTTTCTAAATAACTCAAACCACATGTGCGGTGCGGTTTGCGGTTTTGGCTCTAAACCGCACCGCGCACACCCCTAATATATATATATATATATATATAATATATATATATATATATATATATATATATATATATATATATATATATATATTATATATATATATATATATATATAATATATATCTATATATCTATATATATATAGGGAGTGGTTCAAATGAGAACCATAAAAGATTAAGAACCTTAAGAACCTCAATTAATTAGTAAATATTTACACGATACTCGTATTAAACATGTTAAAATCCTAAGTTTTTGTGCTTTTGGTATGAAAAGAGCAAACTTATAATTTTTACAGTCTAATATTTTCATCCATATATGCTCTCATATTTTAACACAAAACTTATATAAAATATAGATTTACACAGTCAATTTACAGTTTAATGCAAAAAATTCACAACTTAATACAAATTGTTTTACAATAATTCACTAATTCAAAGAAGTCAAAAACTCAAACTCTACCACCACATGCCGCCACCAACCACATGTATCAACATAGTAGCCGTTATTTCTTCCAAATCAGATTTGTAAATAAAGTAATGCATTAACAACTTAATTATTACATTCACAGTCTAATAAAACCTATTAATTCACTCATTTTGAATTTAATGCAAAACAATTATAAAACTAGTGGACTCTTACTAATTTATACAACAAAAAATAAATATATTCATAAGTAAATTAACACAAAAATTTATACATAAATCATTCATATTTTAACACAAATTATAAAGAATTCACAACAAAATGTAGTCAATTCACAGTTTAAACAGAAATCCATAGTTCAATGTAGTCAATTCACATTTTTAAACACAAAAATCACAGTTTAATATAAAAAATTCACAGTTTAATTTATGTATACCTTAAGATCTATAGGTCATTGCTTCTTTCAAAGTTTATTTACACAAGTATTCACAATTTAAATTTTACAACTTTATTCAGAATTAGATAAAATCACATCTGTGTATAACACTTCTTTCATCGTATATTTCAGAAGAAAACAAAAAATTTATAAAAATTCACATCTTAATATCAGTCAATTCACAGCTTAATACACTCAATTCGCAGTTTAATACACAAAATTCACAGCTTAATATAGTCAATTCATAGTTTAAACAAAAAAATCACAACTTAAGGCAGTCAATTTACAGTTTAAAACACAAAAATCATAGATTAATACACAAAAATCACAACTTAATACAATAAATTCACAGTTTAGTACACAAAAAGCATGCATTCACAGCCATATTATCAACTTAAAAGTCTTAATACAGCAAATTCACAGTTTAATACATAAAATTCACAACTTAAAACAATCAATTCATAGTTTAATATATAAAATACACAATTTAATATAGTCAATTCACAGTTTAAACAAAAAAAAATCAAAGTTAATGCATTCATTTTCAGTTTAAAACACAATTATCACAATTTAAAATACAAAATTCACAGCTTAATATAATAAATCACACTTTAATATATAAAAAATATACATTCACAACTTAAAAAAACATAGATTCATATTATTTTAGAAGGAACTAATATAATAACACACATTCTATTCATAAAATAATAACCATAAAACATAAACTTTGAATAACATTTTCATGCAAATATTATAAAAAAAAAATTAAAAAACAAACATGAATTCACAACTTAATAGCGCTTAAAAGTTTAAGCCAAGATTTGCAAAAAACAAACAAAAAATGAGATATTAAAATATTAAATTCACACCTTAACAAAAAGAAAAATGATCGAAAGATTTTTTTTATCACTAATATGAAGGATGGAGCAAGATTTTTAGAATAAAAGGGTTTACGTTATAATATAATTATACATACTCTTAAAAAATAAAACGCAAAACTTGTATAATTAATAATTCAAAATTTGAAAATTTAACTAAATTCTTAATGAAACAAAAAATCATACAACTTATATAAAGCTAAAAATAGAAAAAATAAATAAGAATCAAAAGCAAATGTAAAATGTAAATATAAGCCAAAGCAAAGCCAGAGAACATCGAATATCATATTTATCTAATGAGAAATAATGAACAAAACTTAAAATTTAATATGATAATGAGTAGTGACTAGGCTATTGCAATATAAAGAAAAGAAATATAAAGCACGTTAGATAATGCACAGTAAAACTGACAAAATTAAAAAGAAACAATATAATATTATCTAGGTTATATGATGCACAGTCAAGCTAACAAAATTAAAAAGAAATAGTAGAATATTACCTCAATCTATCTCCAAAATTGAAGTCGTTCATCAGCACTGGTATGCAAAAACGAAATTCCTCCCTTTCCTGCAACAAAGATGTTTTGAAGTTGTTTCTTCTCCATCGGCCAGAGAGTAAGATAGTTTTTCAGACTTTTCACTTTCAATTTGAACAAGATATGTAAGGCACCAGAGTAGCAGCAGCGGTGGTATTTGGATAAGAACAATGTGGCTTGAGGTGATTAGAGATGAAATAGATCTTGAAGGAGGCGACTGTTATAGATAATTTTCGTTTGCCTAGCTCATAGATCTGTCCTTGATGCTTGTCGTCGCTCGTAGATCTAGCATCGTCGGACATCGGAGTTCGTAATCTAGCCTTGACTATTGTCGGTGGTGTTGCGGTCGTCGGTAGTGGCGATTACCGATACAAATCACAGATCTCGAGATGGAGGAGGAAGACGTTAGTGGTGGATCTAGAGCAGAAATCACAGATCGGGAGGCGGAGCTAGTGCAAACTTCTATTCCGGTGAGTCGGTGGTGGTCCGACATCGGCGACGGTAGCAACCACCGGAGGTTGGTGGTAGAAAGAGGGAGGGACGTGCGAAGTTGATGTTCTTGAGAATTTTAAGCAAATGAATTAGATCTGCTTTTTAGATATTATTATTTGTTTGTGAAACTAGGCTAAGATCTGTTGTTATTTACGTTCATGCCACTATTTTTTTTAATAATTGTTAGACAAAAGTTTATTTTTTAATATTTATAAACATGTATTTTTTAAAAAGGACAAATATACTCTTAACTATATACTAAAAGTAAATAGTTCTTATGGTTTTTATCCTTTTTTGGTTCTCATTTGAACCTTTACCTCTATATATATATATATATATATATATATATATATCTATATATATATATATATATATATATATATATATATATATATATATATATATATATTGATTAGGAAGCGGATAATATTTTTTTTCTTGGTTTTGTTCCCTGTGTAAAAAATTAATTACAAAAATTGTCCTCATAGAAAATGTCATTGTGCAGTTTTTTATAGCACGATACATATATTTAAAAAATTACAAAATAGTCCCTATCCAACAGAAAATTTACATATTA